CATGGCCTATAGTTTGATTCGATGGGAGTTTTCAGCAATGGAAATGGTACCATCTCTGAATCGCTTTCCATTACTTGGTTTTCTTGATGGGAAAAATGAGAAACTGAAATGACACCCCCCCTTCAACCTCCTTCCTTTTGTGTTTAATCTTCTTGTGATGGAACCAAACCCAACAACTTTCAAACACTTAAAATGTTTCTCTTGCCTGCTTGTGAAAAATGAAAGTTCCACAGAAGAGCGTGTTTGAACTGTTTTTGGTCAGAGGTCCGGACTTTTGTTTTTTTTTTGTTTTTTTTTTATTTAAACTTTGGGTAAAGTACACAAATTGTCCCTTGACTATAGGGTGCTGCTTTTTTGAGTCCTCTAATTATTAAAAGTTAACAAAATGATCTCTCAACTCTATGGCGTTGTTTTGTAGAGTCCCTTGATTATTAAAAGTAACAAAATTATCACTCGACTATTTATATGTTCCAAACACGTCTTTTTTTTGTAAAATATTAGCGGTTGTCTAAGTTGATTGAGATATAATAAAATTTGGTCTCAAAATCCTTTGAGTTGTATTTTATGGATCAACCATTTATTTATATTATGTAGTTCAGCTAGTGCTTGAAAATAACGGTGGTGTTATTAGACATCATTAATATATAATTTTTTCATATCAACAGATTAACGTCTAATTCAGACAAACATTAATTTTTAACAAAAAAAAAAGACAAGTTAGAAATATATGAATGGTCGGGTGACAATTTTGTAGCTTTTGATAGTTGGGGGACTCAACAAAACAACGCCTTATAGTTAGGGATAATTTTGTAACTTTTAATAGTTTGTGGCCTCAACAAAGTAACACCCTATAGTTGTGGGATCATTTGTGTACTTTACCCTTATATTTTTATTAAAAAATATTTAAAGTTAAAAAATAAAGAAAACCTCGAGAAAAAAAGAAAATAATTATAACAAAATTGACTTGGATAATTTTTTTCCTTTAGGGATCCCTTAGTTCAAAAAGGTTAAAATCCAATCCATCATTTTTTTGTCCATTTATTATTATTATTATATATTTTATGTTTCACTAACAAATGATATAAATTATGTTAATAAATGGTGATTAAATTATATTAAATAATAATAGATGAAAAAAATAATAGACAAGATGTTATTTTGTATAAAATATAAGAATCAAAATTATGAAACTGAACCTTTTATAGCGTCTGAGATGGATTGTTGTGGATGGTAAGTTTACTAATTTCCAATGGAGGAATCAATAATCCTTTGAGCAATGTGTGTCAAATTAAACTTTAAAGTCAAGTTTAAGAACGAACTAATTTACCTTAATGGTTAAAGGAATTGTTGTTCCTAGAATTTATAGGTTCGAGCTCCAACTACTGCAAATGTGATTAAACATTCATTGTCAAAAGATTGAGAATACTTAGAACAAATACTACTTTGTAATTACTTTTAGCTTAATAAAAAAAATCAAGTTTAGGTATCTAATTAGACAAAAAAAAATCAGTACTAAATTGCATATTTAAATTGAATTAAAGTACCAAAAATGTCTAAAATTATAATTTTTCCTTTTATTGTGCCAAAATTTAATATTTAATATGTATAATTCAATTTAACATAAAAAAGTTTGTCATTTTTTATCATATTATGGAATTTTTTACATAATGATTTTTAGATGTTTTTAGAATTCAATGTTATTTACAAAAAAATATCAAAGGTTCAAAATGCAGACAAAATAAAAATCAAGGGATTAAACTAACCAAAAATAATAATAAAAGCGCCAAAACAAGACTTACTGGTATTAAGCCAGTTTTTTACATTTATATGACATGTAAGCATTTTCATGGCATGTAAATGACAAACTTTTCCAAAGTAATATATATATATATATATATGTCATCAATAGATTTAAATTAAGATATCATATTTTTGATCTCATTACGTTTATCACAATTATAAACATATAACATATATTATTGTAATTATTGCAAGTATCGCCATCGTAAATCTTTATTAAAAGGAGCTGATTTTTTTAAAAATATATATATAATAACAAAACAATAGTAGGAATAGTGGTTCGCTATTTCCGCAAATTACAACTACGAACCATTGTTATTGGTGTGATTCCACTTCACACCATTATTTTCTATCATAATGATTTTAGATGTCGCCGTTACCGTTATATAACAGCCACTACTCTGTAACCCGACCACTATCTAAATCCCTGATGTGTTCATCGTCACCACATATATATGTATTTCTTTATGGAATACGTTTATCGTCAGAGTTCAAAATTTAAAGCAATTAAAAAACCATTCCATAGATGTAAAAAGTAGTATTTTGAGAGTGATCCATCACAGAAAGAACAACCATGAAAGCTAAAATTAACTTGAGCAAAAAATATGCATATAAAAATGTTGGAAGAAATTTTTATCAAAGCATTAATAGTAGCAGCATCTCACCCTGCCTTATTGTTACATGTTACTCTACCTTCGTCAAAAAATATGAATATAAATATGATGGTAAGTTTACATGGATATGCAGAGAGTAAAAATGAAGCTCACATTTCATTATTTGATTTAAGTGAGAGAGCATTTGACGTTCAAACTCAAGTGTTTTGGCCAGACCAACTGACCCCAGTGACACTTTCATACGGTAGTGAATGATTACCAACTTTATCAACCCGAAACTTCGTCATATTTAAAGATGCAATCGTATAGCCGTCCCCCGAGAAACTGGGCAACTTCGGGATGTTTTACCTGTGAAAATACATGATCAAAGGGCATAAAGTTCTGCAAATTGATGAAATGCTGCAAAACCAATGCAATATAGAGGTGAAAATGTTACCATTCCAATCTTGAGTGAATCACACTTGAACTGAGCATAAAGATTAGTCTCTATTCCACGACCCTGAAAAAATATATACGTATGGAAACCCAATACCAGAACAATATAAAAAAACCGAATACATTAGTTGAAAACAGTAGATCGAAAAGTGTTGAATCCGAGCATAAAACACTGAAGCAACCTAAACCACAGTCAGCAGTTCAGTGGACCTATTCATCAACCATACATTATGAAGATTTTTATCACTGAAAATTTTGCTCGTCGTTGAACATGTTAAACATTGACAAATCTATAAGAGCAATAACTAATAAACCTACCATGCCTTCCAAAATAACTAGGTCTGCATCACTCGCCAGGTAGGTGAGCTCCTGTGATACTCTCGTAAGATCAATAACCTACAAAAACAGAAGAGGCTGCAACTTCAATGACCAAAAAAAGTAAATTCTTGATCGAGTTTAGATGCATTAGGTGAAATGGTATAGTCATATCTTACCGGCAAATCATTACCAGAATTGGCAATCAAAAGATTTTTAGTATCAACACCGATAAGCATACCTCTTTCATCCTTCAACTGGTAAATTAGCACGTAATAAGTTAGAGACAGCCGAAAAAAGGAAAAAGAGAAACAAGGAAACAAAATGATCATTATCTAGAACTGTTTTTCTCTCCATCACCTTTGATATATTTTCAACCAATTCGGGGTAAGTTATATCATTGATGGAAGGCAAGTCATTAGCTGCCAAGACAACCTGAGCAAAGAGGAAAAAGTTATAAACATAATTCTGTTTGATTTTTCCTAATGAATGTATAATATCGGTTAAGATGATGTTTTTGCCGAAGTTACACGGTATATTGGTAGAAAGAATATGTTGAACTCTTAGTGATCTTTGTTCCATCTGTTGCTTACTATATGAAATAACGACCACAAGTGCAAGGATTTAAGTTATATACTACTTCTGTATCAACAACACTAAATATATCTAAGGCAGGCTTTAAGATCGTTGAAACCAATAAAATACACACGCCACAAACTTATATAACATATAATTTGAATTTTGGATTTTAATTGCAAACTTGGGTCCCACGTTTTAGCAGCTCTCTTGCAAATGGAAAAATACCCAAGATCACTTCTGCACCAGCGTTATCGACTAAAATGACTGCCTGCTATTGCAATAAAAATGAAGATGGAAATCAGACATACAAACAGCATCAATTTTTAATCTTAGTGAAAAAGTGAATGTTGATGTCTTGATATATGCATTATGTTGACTTTACCCTTTCCCAAGATTTCTTGCCCCATTTTGCTTTAAAAGTGTCGAAGTCATCAATGACCCGAGGACGAGGAACAAGATTTGACGAGTAGCCAAGAAGGACATCCCATCCCTTGAGAAAACCTCAACAAGCTTCCAAAGGTAAGGGGACATAGCACAAACAAAAAGTAAGTAGCACCGCAAAAGTTATCCTATTACGGTATACTTCTATCCAAAATGAATATTAAAATCAAAGAAATCATCTCAACCAGAACACATTAAATATGTTACAACATAATCCAAACATATGAGAAGATTTTCATTTATCAATGATAGTACATCCATGGAAAAGATGATCATGACACCCTGCAAAAATTATAAAAGAATGCTGATCCAAGTGGAAAATGTTACAAGGAACGATTTTAGAGAGCATGAGAAATGCATGACAATTATGATTCAAATTGCTTAACCCTGATCATAGGGAAACAAAAGTGCCTGGTAGAGATGAGTACTACTAAGCATGGTAAGTTTGTAACTACAACAAATATGACCTGCCACTTATTGTAAGAGTAAATACTTTTGACAATAATGATGACGGGTGAGATGAATAGCACATAGTTATATAAAGTACCTGTGCAGAACCAAGATCAAATATGTTTCCAGCAAATATTCCTCTAACTAGATTCTCCAGCCGCTTCCCTTCGTCCTCAATATCTTCATTAAGACGAACTACTTCCTGAAATAGGGAGATAGCCTTGGCATTTTCTTCATCCTATTGCAAGTTTTCAAAAGAAGAACAGTGTTAAGAAAGAAAGGAAAAGCATATAACATTGGCAATTATATATCTTAACACTCCACTACCCTCCACAACCCAAAATGTTCATTTTCTTTGTTATCCCTTGAAAAACTACCATTTTATAAAATAAAAAAAGGAAATAAAATCACCAGTATTGTCTATACAAAGTGATATATTTTCACTCATCAAAATTAGAAAGTTATATTTTGGAATTCTAGCAGATCGCATATAAAACAACAGTTTCTAGCAAAACAAGAACCTATAGCATAAATTTCAATACTCACTTTTACTTTCTTGAATATGTCTCCAAACCCCAATTCTCTGATAATCTGTTCACGAATCCGGCCGAGAAGCTACAAAAGCGCAAAATTATCATGAGGACCGCATACATATCTCCAAGAACAACCATTCTGAAATCCATAAAGTAATATAGAAATTAGTTCCAAAAATCTGACTTACAATACAATCAGGCGGTCCTCCATCCTCCATGGCTTTCGGGATCGGGATCTTTCTTGATGTCATCAAGTATATCAGCATACCTTTCACAACATTAAGCAAACAAGAACATACAAATGCGATAGAAGTATGGAAGGAAACAGTTGTCTATGCTAATGACTTATGAGCAACCAAAGAGTCATGGTTTTGATGGAGGGACCATTGAAAAATTACCTAAAGAAAATGTTCATAGATGAAATGAACTTTTGAAACAAAGAAGTATATGTAAAGCTATACACGAAGCACAAGAAATATCCAAAACCTTTTAGCATATTTCTCAGCTTTAGTTGGAGGCTTGGAGCATCAGGCACAGTAGTATCGCTCTCAGCTCTCTTGGAGCGCATCAGTTTGAAAGTTCAGATAATCGTTTAAAATCCTTTTGTTTATTTGGAAAAAAGGTTCAAAATATATTCCCAGTAAACAAGAAGTTCGAAGATATCCATTATATTGATCTCTTTCTTCTTCTTCTTCTTATTGCTTTAGAGTAGTTTAGTTGGGTTTGAGCTGCAGTTTCAAGATTAGAAAACTTTGATTTCAAAACATCAAATCCTTCATTTATCAGCAAATTCTTCAGAATAATATGAACCATAAATTAAAAGTTGATAAATATCAAAAGATTGGCAGTGTTTTGTGGAGTATTTAATTGCAGATAATTATAAATAAGATTCGTTTCAATAAATGTCGGACCAAATGCTTTTTTAAAAGTAAAACACCTTAGTTTCAGTGGAAGATAATTTTTTGTTGTTGATAGTAAATTTAGGAAGATACCAATCTTTTAGCTATTACGACTGTGAAGAAAGGCAAGGTTTTGACATAACTTTCGCTATAATCTGCAAACTTCATATAATTTGTTGTATGGAATTCAAACTCACTATTCTTGAATTCAACATGAACTCTAGATTCTCAAATTTGAAGACTTTTTTATTGATTTCGATTTGTGGGGCTCTTCTATTCCTTTGAATTCATCCAACATACATTCCATGTTTTCAGTTTCCTATAATTTGATTTCTTTCAACTTGTTGCTCCATGACGAGGACTATGATTTGATAAATCGTTCATTTTATTCTAATGCAATCTCTGGTTTGACCATTTTCCAAGGATTTCTTTTGCAGCCGTTTTGTTGTACAATATGATTTCCCTTTTTTGTTTTGTTTTGAGAAAATTAATTAAAGAGTGTAGCAACAAATCTAAACAGAAGCAGATTTCGTTTAGTGCAGGGTTAAACTATAAGGTATTGTTTTGTTGAGTTCCTTAATTATTAAAAATTATAAAATGATCTCTTAATTATAGGATATATTGTTTTATTGAGTCCTCCAATTATTAAAAGTTACAAAACAATCATCTGACTATCAATATTTTCCAAACTACTTTTTCCGTTAAAAATATCCTAATTAGATGTTTAGTTTACGATCATTGTAATTCTAGATATTTTATCATTTTAATAAAATTAACGGCTTCTATTAAATATATATATATAATCACATATAATAACTGATTTATACATTTTCACTTATAAAGAATATATATTTTATAACCAACGATAAAAGGCACTAGTGACTGAATAATTTAAATTTTATTAACAAAAAATACTAATACATTAACATAGAAATAGAAAATTCAATAATAAAAAGACAAATTAAAAATATTTAATAAAGACTTCAAAATATTGATGGCAATAAAAATAACTTGACAAAGAAGTTAAGGTATAATAGTTGGTTTTATATGTAAAATTATATATTATAGATTAATAGATAATAGATTGATAGGCTCATGAGGGGTTTAGATCTCATACTTTTTTAGATAGGTGCGTTTTTAATTATTTAAGTATAGCATTTTAAATATATATTTATTGAGTGATTAAACAAAAGGTCGATATACATGTGTTGTTGGTATAACAATGTAACGTGATTTGTATTCGTGCAATTACATTTTTTTTATATTCATTTTTTGTTTTGTTTTTTATAATAGATTTTTTTTATATTTTAAGCCATAACTTTTTTTACTCTTATTTCAGTCCAACTTCAAAATTTTGACAAACTCCTACCATATTAACAAAAGACAAATCCTTAAAAAAACACTTCCCGAATAATGATTCCTACAAAAAGTGCATTTTGACTTGCATGGTAGTGCCTTCAAAGAGCGACAATCTAAAAAAAATCAAAAATAGATATTAGAATGAGAAATAATTTTTAAATGAGTGATATTTGGGTAAAAATATGTCTCTTCATCTATATGCTTTATGTTTAAGATATATGTAATGTGTTGTAAAAAACAGATACATTGTAATTAATAACCAGATAGTTTAGTGGAATGATGTTGTGAATAAAATAAATTGAGTTGAAAAAATAATTCTTATAGTAAATTTTGTAGTATTCAATCCGAATTAATCAATTAATAAATCAATTATAAGTTGTTGTAATAATTTATTTTAATCGTTATTATACAGATTTATTTATCAATTTTAATTTTAATTACAGTGTTATTTTTTTTACACAAAAGTGCTGAATGTGATTGAAAATGTAAGTTCAAAAATAAAATAGCAAATGCTTGTATGGTGGCGCGAAGATTTAGTTATTTCCAAAATAAAAGTGAAGAACAAAGGCTCCCCACCCGCTGCTGCCTCGCGCTCTCTCTATATGCTTCGTTTTTATTGGATTTGATTCTCTCTCAGGCATTTTATTTCCTAATGGATTTCCATTTCAACCAACACCGATGCAACATATCACCGATCTGAACACCAGTATTTCAGGGCCGCGATGTCATTCTCCCAAACGCTCGGTGGTCCGTCGAGGTGTGGCCGCGTTTTGGGACCATCTCTCGATAAGATCATCAAAAACGCCGCTTGGCGAAAACACTCTCACATCGTTTCTTCCTGCAAATCCACTCTCGAGAAGCTTGACACTCTCTCCGACACCGGATTATCCGATCCGAAGTCTCATGTACTTGGCATTTCCTCGTCCGACGCTGATTTTGTCCTCGCCCCTATCCTCCTCGCCCTCGACTCGAATTACGTCAAAGTCGCGGAGCCAGCACTCGAATGTACATTCAAATTGTTCTCTCTCGGCATCGTTCGCGGCGAGATCGATAGCAAGGCCTCCAATCCGATCCTGTACAAAATTGTCGAAAGCGTTTGCAAACTGGGTGGCATTGGTGATGAATCGGTCGAGCTTGCTGTGTTACGTGTTTTACTCTCTGCCGTTCGATGCCCTTGCGTTTTGATACGTGGCAATTGCTTGATTCACGTCGTTAGAACTTGTTATAACGTATATTTAGGTAGTTTAACAGGAACCAATCAGGCATGTGCTAAGTCAGTTTTAGTTCAGATTATGCTTATTGTATTTACCCGAGCGGTAGAAGATTCCATGGACGTTTCAATCAAAACAGTGTCGGTTAATGAACTTTTAGAGTTTACCGATAAGAATTTGAATGAAGTTCAATTTATAAAGAGTTTTATTAGCGATGTTATGAATGCTAGCGAAGGGGTTCCAGATTTGAAGCTTTTTCAGCCGATTATGGTTCGAGAATTGCAAAATGGTGAGACTAAGTGGTCGAAAAGGGAGCAAAACGAGGAAGTTGAGGAGGAAGAGATGAAGGAAGGGACGGAATCAGGTTCTGGTGTGGATAGCAGTAAAATTAGGGAGGATGGGTTTCATGTTTTTAGGAATTTATGCAAGTTGTCCATGAAGTTTTCCACGCTGGAGAATATTGATGATCAGGTCCTTTTGAGAGGGAAAACATTGTCTTTGGAACTCCTCAAGGTTATAATGGACAATGAGGGTCCAATATGGCGCACAAATGAGAGGCAATTCATTCTATACTAAGTTAAAGTAGGATTCTGGTCTTTTATTTCCTTTTTAAGACGGACTTATTATTTGATATGATTAGCTGCCTGTTATAGTTGTTTGCATGGTGCCATATTTCTATGGGACTTTTAACCATTTTTGTTCTCCACATAGTTCTTGGTCTACTTTTACTATGATTATTGTATTAGGAGCTTTAAAATGGTATTAAACATTTAGACTTTGGATGTTTGTGTTATCTTATCAAGACGTGGGTGTTACATGATTAAGTAGATGAAAAGATATTTAGGTTTCATATTCCCAAACATGGCCTACCATGTTAGACATTGCTATGGGGTCTTGATCCACCAAGCAAGAGGAAACTTAAGAAATCCTGAATGAACCTGTGTTAGACACATTAATAGAAGATTCAGTACTCTCAATTCTGCGCAATATAACTCCCAAATAACCTTTTCTTTTCTAGTGCATATATACTCAGGGTAGTGGGAGGAATTATCTGCAGAATCATTGCTTAGCTAATTTTACAGAATAATAAGATAAATGCTTCAAAAAATTGTCAATTATTTCACTTTTAACAATTTATTTGTTTTTCTTGCAAGTTTTATACGTCATGTAGTGTTTGTCATAAATAACTCACTTGTTTTTCTGCAGTGTTCAGTTAAATTTATTCTGCTGTTCTTATATTCCGTGTTACATCATGCAGGTTTCTTAATGCTATTAAGCAGTATCTCTGCATATCGTTGTTAAAAAACAGTGCATTGTCCGTAATGTCAGTTTTCCAGCTCCAATGTTCTATTTTTATGAGCTTGTTAACAAAATTTAGATCGGGTTTGAAAGCTGAAATTGGAATATTCTTTCCTATGCTTATCCTTCGAGTTCTAGAGAATATACTCCAGCCAAGTTTTCTACAGAAAATGTCTGTCCTCAATTTGTTGGAAAAGATTGCTGGGGATTCACAGATTATCATTGATATATTTGTGAACTATGATTGTGACGTGGATTCACCAAACATATTTGAAAGGTATTCTTTTGTTCCTAATAATTGTTGATGCAAGTGTTTGAAATGAATGTTGCCTTCGTCTCCTCTAGTGTGTTTGTCATGTCAAACTTTCTATAGAAGCATCCAAAATTACATATAAAGTCCTTTATGAATATGACACCTTTGTTAATATTTGAAAAAGAAAGGCGTTCAACATTGGAACTAGCTTGTGTACCATTTATTGATTGATGTTCTAAGAGCATACTTTTTCTTTTTCTTTTTTAAATCTCATACCTTTTTAAATTTCTTTTTCTGAACTTCCACTTAAGCAAAATATATTAAAATATTATAGTTCTGTCATATGTGAAATTGCATATGAATTGAAAGTCTTCTCCTAAATTTTGTATAAAGAATGAAGGTCAACATAGTAATTAACTTCAGCACCAGTCTTTGGTGATTTCTCAGTGTTTGGTTTTGCTCCTTTCTAATGTAAATATATAGATCCTCATTTTCTTATTTCTTAATGCATCATACTTTATACAGTGTATTAAAACTCTTATAATTC